TCTCTGCATCGAATAGAGTCTCGAATGCTGATTACGAATATGCAGATTAAAAGTGCTACGGGGACCTCCCAGACGAGTTCTGGGCGGTCAAAGTTTGCGAAAACTCGGTTTGTCTCGTAAGCGCTGCTGATCGGTATTCGGGCAGTGCCACCGTGGCCTAGTGGTAATGGTCTCGCTTCAAAGCCAAATGCTCGTGGGTTTGCATCCCGTTGGCGCGAAAATTTTTGCTTCGTCTCCTATAAGAGCTTTCACTCTAATTTTCGAAATTCTTCCGTGTTTACGGCCCAGCAGAGCAAGTATATCAAGTATATGACGCAGTCGATCGAGTATTGATTGATCACTATCTGTCCTCTCTGAACTCATTACCCATTTTCGAAGTTTCGAAGTTTTGACCAGAAACTCGCTCGTGGGGGTATTCTGGCCCCCTGAAAACGAATATCATATTCGTTTGGCGAGAAAACGCTTGTAGCCTTTCACGTTGTTGTGGTCATCAACTGAACGAGGGAACCGATCGTTTTCGCGTCAAACGGATGTGATATTTGTGCTCAGGGGGTCAAAATACCCCCAGAAACGAGTTTCTGGCCAAGTTGTGATTCTGGCCAAAACTTCGAATTGTCGGATCAGCGAGGACAGATACTTATCAATCAATACTCGATCGACTGCGTCATATACTTGACATACTTGGGCCGTAAACAGGAAGAATTTCGAAAATTAGAGTGAAAGCTCTTATAGGAGACGAAGCAAAAATTTTCGCGCCAACGGGATGCAAACCCACGAGCATTTGGCTTTGAAGCGAGACCATTACCACTAGGCCACGGTGGCACTGCCCGAAGACCGATCAGCAGCGCTTACGAGACAAAACCGAGTTTTCGCAAACTTTGACCGCCCAGAACTCGTCTGGGAGGTCCCCGTAGCACTTTTAATCTGCATATTCGTAATCAGCATTCGAGACTATCGATGTACCTAGGTCTCCATTCAAAGTTCCATGGGAAGTTCAAACCATTCCCTTATCAGTGCCTCTTGTGTTTATTCAGTTTTGTCAAAAGGCATAGGGGTTTTTGGGTAGCTGTCTTACATGCTACTCAATTTCGCTCTATTTTTAAGTCAATCAATTGTTTACAGTTTGCGGCTGCGCTGATCCATCTCATGCAAACGGATGACCAATTTTTGGCCCAGATTCATCAGGCTTATGTGGACGCTATCAACAAAAGAATAAACAGAAACTGATGTAATTGGCAACAGTACCCTTTTATCTTTTACGAAATTGTTTGTTATGTACTTTCCCAGAAGCGCATCAACGAGTTATATATGTCAAGCTCAAGTACATGATAGCTATTGGGTTGGTCCATTAGTGGTGGCGTTTTTTCAACATAGAAATTCGATGAATTGTTTTTTCAATGCGTTCTATGCTGCTTCATAGGAAATTTCATGCTCTCCAAGATAGCATAGTTTAATTTGTGACCCGCTAGTCTGAAATAGCTTAAAAGTGAGCTTTTTGAATCGCTCGACTGTCACTTTCTCAGAAATCAATGCTTCTTGGCCGTATGTTTCGCAAAGGATTTCGTGGTGCTTTGGCTTTTGACTAAATGGAAAAGAAGGAAAGGCAGTGAGGGGGGGGGTGCCGAAGATGCTTCCTTTCTTCAAGTTAGCCTTCTAGTTTGCCCTTTAGATTGAGTCGTTGAAGAAAAACCGAGCAATGCCCATTCTCTTACGAGCAAAGGCTCCCATATCGAACCGCTCAAAAATCGCTGGCAAAACTTTTCGTTTTTCTACGCAAAATTTCAGGCTAGAATTAACGCCATTACTTTTGCGCCAACCCAGTATTTCCAGTCATGATCCCTGCATACGGTGAGGCGTGTGGCGTGGATCGAACCGCAGCCAAGGCGGCTTTTTTCCCCATGCCATCCTGAGACTACAATTGGTGAAAAATCTGCCCTCAGCTGCGCTCCAGGCCACATCCGTCACACGCCTCATCATTTGCAGGGATCTGTGTTCTTCTGACTAGTTGTTCTCTTGTTAAGCCTGTAGATTCGTACGTACTAACTGTCTCTTATTTTCGTTCAGTTTTTCACGTTTCAGGGCTTTTTGCATAATCCAAAAAGCGTGCATGCTTTTGTATTACCGGTTTATTTAACGGTCGTTTTGTAATGAGATAGGAATTTGTTACGTACTGGTATCTATCTCACGATGGTAGTTTTGAGCTTTTGGCTCTTACATGTCCTAATCTCCTAAACTGAGGTCATTCAAATAGTGCTGTCCAAATGTTGTCGTGGTTTATTGTTTATCGTCCTGTTTGTCAAATTATTGTTTAGGTTCTCTTTTTTGTGTACATTATTGTTTATTGTATGTACCTCTGCCAATGCCTTTTCGGTTGTGATGGCGATCCGAGTTGTGCGTATCGGAATTTAATGTCAAACTAAAATGTAGTCTACTCCATGATCTGGTAAATATTTGGTTCGCATTTTTTTTCTTAATTTTTCGTTATTTGATAGCTGAATTTCTTCCTTTTCGGGCACTGAGCATTGGTAGAATCTCAGAGTTTTGATCGATGGGCAAGTTGGCCGGGGTGGGGGGGGGTATGGGGAAGGATTGATAAAGTGTTAACAGGTAGCGCTAAAAATTTCTCCGTTTACGAGATTTTTCTCGTTTCACGTGCGCTATGTAACTCGGCCCCCATTTATTATTACCCAACACAACGCGATACGGCGCAATGAACACGGTTCGTAGCTGGCGCATCCCGCGTTTGTAACTCGTTGTATAGCCTAAGGTATAATTTTGACTGCGCTTTGGTAATTAGTGAGCTTTGGGGAGCATCCACGAATTTGTGTGTGCTAATTGACGTAAGTGATAAGAAAAAAGGAA